ATGAGAGGGCAAGAGCAGAGAAGGGAAACGTGGGCTGGCTGGTGGCAGTGCTGCTGCCAGAGCAAAGCTATTTGGAAGCAGGGCCCTCAGCAGCTGTTAGCAAGCGCTGTTTTCCATAGGGACAGGTTACACCCACATCATTCACATCTGGTGATCTAGCACATAAAAAGCTTTTTGCTTTAATGGCTGCTTCCAGTTCTTTTAGGTTGGTCAAGCATCAGAACTCAAAGCTGTAAGAATCCTTTTCTCGTGCATAGCCATCAGTGATAGAAGATGAAGGCGTCTGATATAGATGCAGGTGTATCGAAGAAGGGAATGAATGGAATTGACTGGGTCAACAAGTGTAGTGATATTAGACCTAGCAGAGAGAAGAAAAAGTGGAATCGGGCTTTGAAGGTGGGAGACCGTGACTGAGGGGGGAGACTGGGCTAAGGACCCGGTTGGAAGGCACAGAATCAGGTTGAGAGCTGAGAAAAATGAACGGGAACGGCAGGGGAAGGAAGCTTCAACCAGAAACTGTGGGGTGACAGCAAATGAGATGTCGGCAGCAAACCTGGGGCAAGGAGTTGGAGTGCCAGCGCGGAGAGGCTGGGATTTGGCTGCTAAATCTCCAGAGACTGAAGGTGTGGCGACAAGGTGGAAATCCTAAACAAATGACATGTCCTCTGTGCACGTACGTGTGACAGGGAAATGCAGGGCCCTGTCTTCTGCAGAAATTTGAGATCCTAGGAAAGCTGTTTTCAATGCAGAGTGAGGATTCTCAGCGCAGTCTTGGCCTAATGCTCAGCCTTGTGAGTTCAGCAGAAAGCGTTTTGTTAGGTGGTTGTGTAGTGCTTGAGACTGTGTGATGTTAGGATTTGCATCACAGGAAGTTACTGGTTTGTAAGTGAGAATAGCAAGGAAAAGGCTAGGAACTGCTGCTGCTGCTGAACAGAGAACTCATTGCTAAAATTGGCATTATTGAAGATTTTTTTATTATGCTAAATGCAGTGCAAAATGCAGTTTTAGAGTGGGTACCAAAATTAGTGAGTACTTCTGACCTTTATTTCTACTTCTGCCTTAGTTTTCCATTTGTTAAGTATCAGCAATACCATGTTCTCATTTCAGGAATTTTTGGAGTTAAGAGTATTTCCAGGTTTTGAATAATTAATGCTTCAGCTCTACTAATGCGCTCTTAATAGGGGCTTCACCTTCAGAAAAACTGAGATGCTTCATAAACACATGCACAGTATTCACGTGAAAGTCCTCTTACACCACAGGAGCCTGACTTCATATATCAGCTGTAGTTTCTAGTGCTAGCTATGGCCAAAACATTGCAACTGTATTTTTAGGTTTAAGTCTAAAAATTATTAATACGTCTGTGTTGGGTTTGTTAATTTTAGCAGGTTTGAAAGCAGCATTATAAGACTTAATGTCTGTGCTAAATTGCAGGACAATGCACCTAATGGAAGGAGAGTTACCTACCTCCATGTCAGGAAGCTGTGGGGCCAGCATTAATGGGAAGCTGTACATTTTTGGTGGATTTGATGATAAAGGATACAGTAATCGGGTATTGTATTCTTTTCTTTCATAGCGTGTTGTATTTGAATGCATAATAATGCTGACCTTACTGTTTTGTCTGGTGTACTTTGCATTTGAATGAAGAAATTTAAGGGAAAGCTCTATTTTTGTAGAAAAAGTTTACTTTTAAACTGGCAAAAAACTTTAGTTTTTGTTTTAATGTTCAACTCCGTATATTTTTCTGGGATTTTTCACTGAATCATAGCTTCAGATTGAGACCCATTACATGAAACCTTCTGTATTTATTTCTGAAAACTGCCAGTGCTTTCCCAATTGCTTTTTTTTTTTAAATATGTTGGCAGCCATAATTGAAACTGATCTCTTTTATTTTTGCTCTTTGATAGTGATTACCTTTCTTACATAATCAGCTAATAATTAAAGTTAAATTATAGCTACCAGTTTTCATTGTAACTGAAGGCTGGAGTAGCAAAGTAGAGGAAATGAGCTGTTGTATCATTTAGCGTAGATGAAGTCAGGGTTCAGTCCTGACTAGAAAATAACGGAAATGGGGCCTGTAATCGGATCTCAGTTTAGTGCTCGGTTCCCAAGCCTTGTTGGTATTGGTGCAGTTACCTGGTTAGGTTAGGCAGAACTACTGACACTTCTGCCAGTAGAATGGAACCGAGAGCTCTTTGTCTCGCAGAAGATTTTGCAAGGCTTCAGCTGACTCTGGAAGGAGCAGGATATTAGCGTTCTGGTCTGGCTGAGAGAAGGCAAGGAAACGTGCTGCTAATTCTCTCGCTTGTTATGTTCTTGTTGTGTATCAGATTCTTCCTATAGGTTGCTACATCCTGTAAACTTCACTGTCAATTCCTTTTTTTTTTTTTTTTTTTTTTTTTTCAAAGGAAGTAGTGTATTCTGGGGGTGGTGGGCTGTTCTTTTTGCTGGTGATTTGTGCTGGATTCTTCGACATCATTTATACTGAAAATGTTGTAATTTTTTTCTTTTAAGCTGTATTATGTTAATTTGCGAACAAAAAATGGAACCTATAGGTGGAAAAAAATTACAAATTTTAAAGGTCAACCTCCTACACCACGTGACAAGCTTTCCTGCTGGGTGTATAAGGACAGGTAACACATTAAGAATATTTAATATGTGTTAATTGCAGAGAGGAAGTACTATAAAGTGAAGAGAACACGGGTTTGGGATTCATGAAACTCTAATTCTTAGCTTGACTTGCTATGGGATTTTGTGTAACCCTCCTAACAACTTTCTGCCAGAGTTTTCTCACATGTGAGCTGAATTAACGGTAAGTATAAACCCACTTTAGGAGAGGGTTGGGAAATTTAGTGAAAGTTTCTGGAATGCTTCAAGACTTTAGATAAAAATCATTATGCATCTATTACTTATGGTTTTAACTTTAACACATGTTAAAAGTCAGTATACAAATTACACTGGGTTTTTTTTGTTACATTATGTAAGCATTAAATTATTACCTGCAATAAAATATATTTAGTATATTTTCAAGGACTTTAATAGCATACAAATGCTGACAGTTGCAGAGGCATTTCAGTGAGTATCTTTATTTTCTAAGAACAAAGTCAGCCTAGATATTTGTGTTGTGAAAGTTACTGAGTGTATTTAGAAAAAATACTTAGCTAAAAATAAATGCTTCACATTCTGTGTTTATTATGGAAAGTGTCTGGATATTGTGGCATGTGCGGTCACAAGAAAGTGACATGTCAGTGATTTGTTATAAAAGTTATTGTAAACAAGAAAGAATGTGATATACAGTGAACACTATCAAATGTAAACGATGTATCTGTTTCTGGAGTCCACAGCTAGAGAGGTTTTGCATAAACTGTATAATGCCTCTCGGCACTGTGTCTTGGTTTTGTAATTCTAATTTAACTGCAAGACATACGAAATTACGTATATTTGAACAACTTCTCCGTAGCTGTTAATACAAGATTATTCAAAACTAAATTAATCTATTCAGAGTATCATGTAATCCGCATACTGAGAAAATTGCCTACTTGAGGTGGCAGAGTGTAACCTTTTCATTTACGAAAAGTATTTGGGGACAAGCTATGCACCTTTTCAGAAGTATACCTTAAAGTTTCACAAGATGTGAATTTGCAGATCAGGATGTCGTGGTGTATTGCACAATGCTTTCCGTAACTCTGTTTCCCTAGGAATGTCAGTCTGGAATGACCTTCACCATCCCATCATTTCCTAAATTGCCTTCTCCCAAGATCACTAACAACTATACCAAATATCCTCAAATGTTGAAGTTAAACAAAACTTTAGGAACCATTACTTATGGATGGCCATTTCATGGGTGGAATTTTAGGCTGGGAGGTGTGTAACAATACTTGCAATGCAATATGTTCAGTAGTGCTTAGTTGAAAGAATCTCTTTATAAGCTAGAGAAGGGCTTTGTGGGTCACAGGCAGTCTGTGGGCTGAGCCTTGGGAACACTTGTTGTGAAAAGATGTATACAGAAGGCTAACAAATATAGCAGGAGCATAGGAATTTCAGTAGAAAAGGGCAGGAATTCTAGCAGAAGCATAGGCAGTTCACTGTCTTGTGTGTTACGTGTCATTTTGAGACTCGCGTCTGAAAATGTGACTGTGATAAGCTTGTGGATGGAGGAATAGAGAATAGGGACTTTGAGGTATCTCGAACCTCCTTCCTTGCTTCTGTGGATTTCTGTCAGGGTTGTCGAGGAGTGTCGAGTAACAATATTACCTTCATCTCAGTAAGGTTTTCTGTGTAATTAGGTGCAATATTTAAAATATTTTAATTTGTCTATATTATTAATAGCACAGTAGGTAAACCAAAATTTGAAATTAATTATTACAGCTTATTTATTTGAATGTTATTTACAAAACAGCTAAGTGAACTTATTTTTTTATTGTTATTCTTTTAGGCTAATATATTTTGGTGGCTATGGCTGTAGGAAGCATAATGAACTGAGTGATTGTTTTGATGTCCATGATGCATTTTGGGTAAGAGATTTTTCATAATTTAGAGTGATCTGTCCTTTCTGATTGTCAAAATGTGATCTTTTATACTATCCTCAGTAAGTATGAAAATCTGATTTATTTGTAGCATCAGCAGAAATGCAAATTAGAATCTTCTACTTAGATTTGAAATCTCAGATATTGCATGTTGGGAGCGGTGGGTGTTCAGTGTATTCCACGTGCCCAGTGCTAGGCTTTGAGCGCAATGAAACAAAATGCTGTCAAAGCAGGAACAAAGACAGTACTTTAAATCTGAAGACATATTTTAAATATAAAACTCCCAGAACTTTTTAGAATTTATTTCCTTGAAGTAACGGTAGGGAATTTATAGCTTCACAAGTCGAACTGACAAATACTTTCGGTTAATTTCTTTTAATTTGGTATCCAGAGTAAATGCTATTACTTTAAGATGTCTGGATTAGCTAGTTTCCTATAATGATTTCTTACAGCTAATAGAAAGAAGGAGACTGATGAGAGTATTTAGTGACAGGATTTAATAAGAAATAGATGCACATTCAAGGGAGTATAGATCCTTATATCAAATGTTAAATATTGACTTACAGAAATGTATTGCTTTGTACGATATATTTATTTCTCAGTATGTTACGCTCGGAATTAGAAGGTAGAATTCGTCTACTGCAGTGACTGGTGTTGGAGCCCAAAGCCCATTTTCAAAAGTGTCATCAGCCCTAACGTTCCCGAATGCTGTTGACCTTCAATTAGACCTGAGCTGCTGCATCGTTATTAAAAATATTAGCAGACGTTTCTTTTAATAAAATTCTGTATTTAGTTTATTTTCTGTTCACTTCTGGGTTTGTGTCCTTTAATAAGCACAAAGACTTTAAAACAGAATAAACTTATTTTTAATTTAATTTATTTTTTTTAGGAAGGACAGATATTCTGGGGATGGCATAACGATGTTCATGTTTTTGATACAACCACACAAACTTGGTCTCAACCAGCAATTAGAGTGAGTGTTTTTTAGTCTCGTCTTTTGACACAGTTGTGATTTTACTGCATTTTGAATAGTTATTGTGCTCTAGAAATTGATGTTGGCAAAAGTAATTTGAATATGCTTAATATCGCTCAGGCTTGTAACATTAAACAGGAGGACACTCAGTGCATCTGAAATGTGAAAAATTCAGAACTGATATGAATTTTTTTTTTCCCACAGGATGTTATTAGACTGGTGTTTTTTCTATAATGCGGTTCTGATGCAAAAAATATTGTAAGCTTCAGAGAGGTATTAGAAATCTGGATACATTAGAAGATGATACAGTATTCTGTATCTAGGGGATAGTTTTGAGATAAAGCTTTGTATTCAAGCTTAAAACAACTGTTGGGAATATAAAATTACTGTCAGCGCTCTCTTACTGGAAAGACAAGGCACTGGAATACTCCAGAAAACCATTTAGTAGGAATACCAGAGTGGTGCTGAGGAACGGGGTGTGGAGGTGTTTTGGTGGCTCCTGACAAAGCAAGGCTGGGTCCTGCAGAATGGATTACGGCGACTGTAGCGACTTCGGGTATCCTTGCAGGCCCTGCTGGGGCTTTGGATACGGAACAGTTCCATGGCTGGAGCACAGCCGTTAACCCTGGCCAGCTCTGTGTTCTTCATGTGTCACACCTAGCGAAGGCCTTCTGGAACAAAGCAGAGGTCTCTGGGGAGTGCCTGGTAGAAACACATAAATGGTTTTAATGGTGCCAAACTGAGGTTAACAAACTTCATTTATCTGAACTGTTTTGATCTGAAGCCATTTGGTTGACTGTATCTGCGTATAATTAATCTGCAACATGGGTAACCTCTCCCCGATAACTGAGAGTTGACCACATGAGAGATTAAGGTCTGCCTGGGGGTTTCTTCCTTTCCCCTGCCTCCCCCTTTCATCAAGCTGATAGGTCAGTGTGAAGGATGGCGTATCGGGCTGAAAGAATAACAGTAGTCTTGAAATCTAGTCTCTCTTGATTCATTATTCAGCTTTTACAGGCTTAAAAAAGGCAAGGGGAGAGATGGTAATTGAACAAGCATCTCCCAGTCATGCTATATTGTTAGAATAAACAGATCAGGTGTTCTTCGGCAAATATGTTATTTTAATAGTCTTCCAATGGAGCATGTGTGCTTACTTTACCAGTAAAATAGTAATGCACACATTTCTATTTATTGATATTAATATGATAGTATACTATAATGGTTCATAAAATCCTGGTGAGTTTAAGTAAGAACTCAGTAGAACTATATTGCAATGAGTGTCTGACACTGTTTTATGGTCTTTATAGGATGTTCTAAAATGCAAAAAATGAAATTACCTTTGAAAAGTAAAAGCCACTTTTACTATCTTTATTTCTGATTTACACAGGGAATACTTTTTGGCACGTGGCTATTGGATGTAACATCAAATTTTAAGATCTGATTTCCAGAGATTTTTGTACCAGTTCCTGATGGTTCGCACTTTGGAAAAATAAAGCTGCACAGGACACATCAACAATAACTGATGTGCTACTGTAATTTTATGCTTAGGAATTAAAGATTAATTGGATTTCACTTAAGTAAAGCAATGATAAATCAGATCAAGAGGGAATATATTAAACATTAGCTACTGAGGGAACTCAGTTAAAGCTGCCCTTGGCAAATATGTATATGCTCTAATGTCTGTGGAGTCTTGGATATGACTACAAATTATTTCCTTTTAAAGTTGCAGTTCTGTCAGCATATTGACGCATGTTGGCCTTACTTTTGCAATCTCTGTGGTACTGACTTGCCGCTATCATTGGCTGGCGCTTTGATGATGTTCTGAAGGATCTTATTTTGGTTCTTTCAGGGTGGAGATCCACCTCAGCCTCGAGCAGCTCATACATGTGCTGTGCTGGGAAATAAAGGTTACATCTTTGGAGGACGAGTGCTGGTTAGTGTTTAATTAAAACATTTTATTGTCAGTAATATTATTTCCTTGGCAGTTTTTTTTTATAGCAAATTCTTTTTGTAATAGAAAAAAAGCCAAAACATTTTTGGCCTAACCTGTATGCTAGAGGCGTTGAATCCAGGATGCTTCTTTTCATCCCACTCTACAAAAAGAGGAGTCTGTCTTTCTGTCTGTAGCATTAATGATGAAGCATATATTGTCCCCAAAAGGGAAGAAACAGATGACTGTATGGTAAATGCAAATGTTTATAAGTCAACAAAAATGGCTGATGTATGCGTAACTTCTGCAGGAGATGGTTCTTTGAGAGTGGAGCAAAAGCAAGCCTGCTGATAGACCAGGTTTAAATAAATGATGAGATGCTAGCATTCTGTGCTTGCTACAGCTTAGCAGATCTATACATCAAACCTGCTGGCTTTTTCTTCCCCATTTCACTTAATGAAATGCTAGCAAGTGGTAAATATAACTGGGATTTTAGCTTGTGCTTCTCCCCCTGGCCCCCGCCCCCTGCTGAAGAAAGAGGAAATGTGTAAGAACAGTCAATTTCTCACGTACGCATCTCTCACACCCTGATGTTTACCTTCTGGGAAAGTGAAGTTCAGAATAGCGGTTGGGATACAAGACTTTATATTTACAGTTGCAACATGTGGTTCTGAATGGTAGGAAGTAAGAGATCTCAGTTGGCTTTATAACTTAAACTTTTGTCATTTTTTGCACATAAGTGACTGAAATACAGATGTCTGGAAGAGCAGCAAGTGATTATAATGTCTGGATACAGAGGTATCAGTCTCCGTATGTTCAAGCTGGTACAGGATGCTGCAGCATGTTACCTGATAGCACAGGTCCTTCCAGTCCTGTTCAGCCTCTCCTCTGCTCTCTGAATGCCAACTTTGTAGTCTCAGTCTTTACCTTTAGCATGCTCTGTGCCCTTGATAGAGAATACATGAAGCACACTGTAGAGATTGCTGTTAACAGCTTTATTCTGTGCATCCAGTATAAACTCTTTACTGCAAGAGTAAGGCTTGTATTGGCTTTCTGGCTAGTTGATCCAAGACTGTGCCATTTAATACACTGTGGGAGGATCTTAAATGTGTTGTCCCTTAGGTAATAGTTAAAGGCAGCGTAAGAGCTATCTGTTTAGGATGCGATCAGTGCATACTTAAATCAAGGCTAGAATCTTGCTATAATCATAACTCTTCCTAGCTCTTTTTAATTTAAAAAAGAAAAAAGTCATAGGCATCATCCCCCTGGTTGTCTGTACCTAACAAACTTGAAGCCACCACTGGTAAGCAAGGAGATACTAAAACCTCTCAGCCACACACTTAATTTTCCTAGTACTAGTCAGAGGACATTTTCTCTTCAGTTCTTCTCTGCTGAAGCATTAATGTAAGAATTTAAGCTTGAGGCAGCAATCCAATACAAAAAACATACTCTTGTCTTATGTCTGAAAATAAGGATGGCAGTAGGTAGTCTTAATTAATGCAGGCTCCCTTATCGTTTGTACATTTTTTGCGAGAATAGCTTCTTGGGCTGGAAAGTGTACCAACTGTTTTTAGAACTGTTGCAAAAGCATAGTGAAGATAATATTTTTAAAGGTCTCTGAGCTGGAGTTTATAAGCAATGTGAGAAACAGGTTCTGTAAGGCAAGTAAAAAAACCCTCCTAATTTAAGTTACTGTGTACTCTTCCATATTTTTTTTTAAATTTACGTTTTTAGCTCTTTTTACCTTTAATTATATTCAGCTAAAGGATGAGACTTGGTGCTTTCTATCTCTACTACTATGAAAAGTAACAGTGAAGCAGCTTTTGAAAGCCCTCAGTGCTGTGTTTCTATAGTTCTGTTAGATGAAAGAGAAGGAATTAACTGTTTGGAAATGCCCTCCAATGAACATATGCCAACTTAATCTTGGCAAGCTGCCCTAACCTAAACCCTGTATTCTCAAGTACTTGCAAATAAAACACTGTAAAATTGCACTTTGTTCCCCATGCCCTGTTTTTCATGCTGTAAAAGCTGTACTCTCCTGCAGTGTTCTTCTCAGGGAAAGTCTACAGTTCTGTTACAAAATGGCTTACTCCTGCTTGCTCAGACAGAAACCAGACGTACAGATCAAGGCAGGTTCAGAATGGCCACCCAATGGCCAGCCAGTTTTTCAGTTTGAATCGCCTCCCACAGCTTCAGGAAAAGTTTTTACCTCACTACCTTTTCAGAGCAATCAGAAAAGAAAGTAACCAAAATTGATCCTGTTTATTCTTACCATTCTGCCTTATGTGTTATGTAGCCTTTCATACAGGCTCACGATCTCTGGAATTGTTGCTAAAGCCCCACCTCTTGACTGAGAGAGAACTGCATGCAGTAGCTTCCAGAGCTGTAGGTTTGGACAAACTTGATTTGCAAATAACTAAGGAAATAAAGGGATATTAAAGAGATTGAAAAGGTATCTAGTCTTACTTGGATCTTGTGCGTCAGTGTTAGCCATGCCAGGCTAAGCGAGCCCTGTGCCTCTGCTATGGACTCGCTCTTCTGTGTCTGCTGTATAAATGAACTCTTGCTAACCACAGCTGAACTGAATCCTGCTCCTCATTTAGCAAGCCTGCAGACATGAGAGGGAAAGAATCCTAGATGTGAAGAAGTAAACACGCAGCTCAGGACCTTCTGGCCTACCATTTATTTTTGAGCTCTTCCTCAGCCTTCAAAGCCTTGCTCCCTCTGCCTTTTGTTAGCAAGGGCTATCTGTGTGTGCTGCAGAGGTCTGCGCACCAGAAACAGAATAGCGTTGAGCGTTGTGCCCAAGCTAGTTAGGGTTGCTGTGCTGTGCCTGTTGCAACTGAACTGCTTTGTAACTCCAGCTAGGATTCTCATGCAGCCTCTGCAAGTGAAATTATTGGTAACCTGGAGCTCACCTGTCATTTCACCACTGTGCTGTTGCATGATTAGATGTGCCCTGAGAGGACAGGCCCTCTGGCTTCTACTTAACTCTGACTATTTGACTACAGGACTCAGAAATACAAGAAGGCTCTGATCTGAAAAGGTTTTTCTCTTCCTCAGGCAGCATCAGCTTCCTTAATAACCATGTGCTAAATTTCAGTGAAACCGCTTGGGAACGATGTCGGAGAAGAGTGAAATTTTGGAAAGCTCTATTTAATTTTGTAGGAGAGCAGCAAGTGTAATTTTCACCTTAGTGGTACTCTAGTATTGATTCGCTTTCTATCCTAGAAATAAATGGAAGGCAACTTGTAAAGGTTAGGGAACATTCAGTGGGGCTTGAGGAATTAATGTAAGTCATGAAACAGGAAAGGAAAGCTAAAGACATCAGAAAACGCTACATTTCCTGACAACAGGAGTAACTCCTTCCCAAAGGATGAAGTCGCATTTCTCCATAAATTAAGGAGCAAATACGGGGTTGCTCTGCTCCTCCTTCTCCTTCTAGTTCACCATAATACAAATCTTCCCAGGGAAAAGGCTCTACAAGGAACCAGAAAGGGCCAGGAAGTGTCATGAGGCTTCTCCTATTCATCTTTCTGGGAGGAAAGGGCACCTTTTTCCAAACTTGGAGCTAGAACTGGTAAAAGAAGATGATGATGATGATCAAAATCAATTGTACCAGGAATCATTTGAAAACAGGCTCAGAAGTATTATGTGGACTCTGTTCCTCCAGGTAAGCCCCTGAAAAAAACACAACTGGGAGAAAGTGGGAAGGAAGGAGAGTTAGTCCGAAAGTTGATGCAAGTCTCATGTTTGATTTAAGTGGAAAGTTTTCGTGTAAAGAATGATGCAGTAATAAAACAAAGTCTTTCCAGCAGCTCTTCACACATCTGATGCCTTAATGTATGCATGTTTATATTTCCTGTTATCCTTTCTGTCACTGAAGATCAGAAGATACATTGAACTGCAGTCCTTCTCTTACAAAGATTTGATCTGTAATAGCTGATTGTAAATCTCAGAATGGAAAGCTGCACAGAGTTTGCTGTAACAGCAGTGAGCTGCAAATATGTCACCCTTAATGCCTTTCATCGTGCTAGAAAGCTAATCCTGAGACGAAGCAGATCCTGGTTAATGTTTACGAGGCTGCAAATAAATGAACATGCTATAGCTAAGTAGGATGTCTAAGGAGTCCTTGTAGCTCAAAGGGAAATGCAAGCCCTCTTACGAGGCTTGATGCCTTTAAGCCCATTAAGAATCATTTTAGGATTATCAGCTAAATGATTAAACATAGTAGGTAGCACTTACAAATACACGAGAAGCTGCAAGGAAACTTTGCATGTGGCAAGTGACGATACTATAACCTGACTGTGCGCTTTACGGTTTCCCAAATGAGGGTTGGGTAGAAAGGCATTTTCATTTATTAAAGCTATGTTAAAGGACTGAATCTTAGACATAAATGTCCAACTGGTGCTGTGTTTTGAATTCAAAATGAGGTTGATGTAATTATGCATCTGTCAGTCTGTTGACTCATGAGAATGTAAAGATTATAATACATTGATTTCCCAGGGACCAAGAAACTGAAAACTACTCTGTCTTCTGCCTAATGCCTAGGAAAGGAAAGTCAGCGAGGAGCTCTTGAACAGGATCTTCTTGAAACCTTAATTACCAACATAACAGCAACTTACTTTCTTCCCTTTCTTTAGTAGACATCCTCCGTATCGAACTGTGTTATTGCAAGATGATTAAATATTTTTAGTTCTAGAGGCCAGGATGTTGCTTTCTCCCCACCCTACCCCCAAGCGCCTAGCTGTGTTCAGGTACAGCAGAAGATACTAAGAAATTGCATTTTGCTTTCTGCTCTTATAATTTGTTCCTCATCTCCTTCAAAGCCATCTGAAGGAGCAGGAACCTGCATAGACTTGTCATGGAAGACAGATCTGTTCCACTAGCTGTCAGTTGGACCACACGTTATTGTTACAGTTGCCCTCTTGCAGGGATAAAGTTTCTCGGGCAATGCACAAAAGCCCTTGCATTCTGCTGTTCTTTAGGCTACTGGCCTCTCTGAAGGCGCTCCCAAAATGCTAGTCAACATTCTCTTCCCTTGGACAGAAAAGGGCTAGCACGTACTTGATCAGAGGAGGCCGTAGCTGTCCTGAAAACCTTGCTGTTTCCTGAAATACCCCGAGAGACTTTCCATAGCTCTGATGGACAGCTTCGGAAGTCTCAAACTCACTAACTGGCTGAGTTCTCAGGGGTAAAACTACTCCTATTCTGACTTAAATGACAAGTCTAGTTTCTGCCTCAAAGGATCTGCAAGCTGGAGAAAGGCTTATTCTAATAGATCTATGGACTACCCTAGGAGAAAAGAAATTGTAAGGTAAGGCAAGATATATTTCCCTACTTATCAGATATTGTTTTGTAGTACCTAGGGGAATCACAAATATCAGTCAAGTGTATTGCGAGCCATTGAAAATATTGCTATGGTCTAAAGCAAAGAAATTCTTTCTTATATTCCCCCCCCCCTTGATGTTTCTAAGGCAATTACTTTCTTCATCTCAAAATGGAGGCAGGTATGCAAGTGTATTGATTTCCCCTTGTTCTTATTGACACATTCTGTTATTTTTATGGCAAATGCTAAAGGGTCATAAAACGTTGTTGTTGCTAGTAGTAACTTTGCGGAAGCGCTTGCCTTCTGGAAAAGAGAGAAAAACACAGATGTGATGAACTTTCTGTGGGATGGCATGTACTGACTACAGTACCTACAAGAATATTTCAAGGAATAAGTGACCAGGCAGGAGGATGCATAGTTCTGAACAGAACACAAAGAAAAATAATAAGAGGAAGCTATATGTAGAGTATTTATACCTTCTGCAATTACCTGCCAGGAATTCTATGGACGAAAATTGAATACCTTTGCAGGAACTGAGTATCACATATTAAACTACTATTAAAAGCTAAAATTGGCCCCATACTGCCATTGCATTGCTGTAATATTCCTGACAGTTGCATGGGTTTTTTGAGAAGAAATGCTTTTCATCTGCCACATAATACAGAGTTGTTTTAAGGCACGTGGGTACGGTTTTCTTCAAAATATTGTTACTTGGAATATTCTGTCTCGGGAAGGCCTCACTGAAATACTTTGCTCATTGATTGCTTAATATAACACAACTGGGATTTTATTTATTTGTTTTAGCAAACTAGAATGAATGATTTGCACTGCCTGAATTTAGACACTTGGACTTGGTCTGGAAGGTAGGTTTCTCTCTATAACACTTAAAGTTGAATGTAGCAGATTGAAACATATTGTTAAATAGTTCCAGTGCTAATTTTGTAGCTTTTCCGAGAGGAGAATGGGAGTTTGGGGACTATTTTAACAGCTGTTATATTGTGACTTCAATTTAATTTAATTTGGTAGTGGTTACTAAGCTTTTTCTGTTCCGCACCAAAGCCTTGATGATGCTATTTTAAGCACAGCATGTAGTGATTTAACATCCTCATTTTCAAGATGGGTACATTTATCCACATGGAATTTTAGTTTGGATGTCTTTTTGAATACCGTTTTTACTATCTATATTTGGCTCGTTGTGGTACAGAATGGGGAAGGATCTCCCCCCTCCAAGATAAGCATCTTAACCATTTTTTTTTTTTTAAATCAAGTAAAAAGCATGACCTAAATATTTCAATTTTAAACTAAATCAGGTATTAGTACACTTCCTAAGATTTGTTTGTTTGCACGTAGCATTTATGATAGTGCCTACAACACGTGTAGAATCGGTGGATATATTGTTAGCTGATAGACTACCCTTGAGATAAACAGTAACTGATGGGCGATAACCACTGTTCTGTTCCTATTCTCAAGGTAACCTAAATAGTAATTTCATAAAATTCATGAAATACCCCTTTCCTGAGCATGTGTCAGTACTGATCCTGCTCCAGGGCTTTGTGCTTCAGGCACCTATGATGGACATCTTTAATCACCCGGGACTGCTGATCTGATCCTGTGCCGAGTGTGTTCCTCTGCCCCCGAGCCGAGAGCGAGGCGAGGGAGTAGACACAATCTTCCATCCATTCTTTCTTGCTGCTGATGGCAGCAGGACAAAAGTCCCACAGCTTCCTTTCAAAAAAACTTCTCTTTGAAGGTGTCTTTAATTAGCACTTATGATTAACTAATCGGTTTAATTCCCCTTTTTCTTTGCTGGCTGTTTTAAAATTAACAGTGTTCTACCTAAATGATAGCATTGTCCCTCTTAGACTGTGTAACTTTACCTCTGAGTGGATTGATTATTCAGATTAGCTGCTTGCTTTTGTGGTTGTTGCAAGAGCAGCGGCCGTTTGGCTTGCTTTATGCTGCTTTAAAAAAAGGAAACCTGTGGCAGTTGAGTGACAAGTCAATGAAAGGAGCTTCAAGCCCTGGAGGAGGAGTGCCAATGTCAAAGTTCTGTCTTAGTCCTCATCAGCCAGTGTTCCCTTTTCTTTGGCGTATGAAAGCTAATATTGAAGTTTTTAAAAAGTCTTTTCTGTTCTTGACCTGACTACAACAGGCTGATTTTACACACATACATACACATACATACATACATACGCACGTACATACACTTAGACTAAGGATGGTAATACTAAATGCAGCCATTCCTAAAAACTGAAGATTGTTCCAATGCTCAATTATTTCTATATTGTGATCCAAGAATAGTTCACAAGACTTACCCATGAATTAGTATAGAGTCTGATCATTATAAATTTAGAAGCTTACTGTCCAGCCATTCTATAGCACCTCTGCAAAGAGTCTTTGAGAGACTGAAAAAAAAAGAGATTTAAGGGACACTAAAAAAAGATATTTAAGAGATTAGAAAAAAAAAAAAAAGAGTCTTTGCAGAGTGTCTGCTGCTGTGCTGGCACCTCGCAGGAGGCAGAGCGTTCATCTTTAGTTGTATCTAGAGAGGTACCTAATCAAAGGCTGGCCTTATGGGAAGCTTCACAGGCCTGAGCGCTGCTCGTGCCTTACTGAAGTGACTGATCTTATGGAAACCTGAGAAATGTAATTCAGACTATCACAGGTGGCAGAATTTAGATCAGCCATTGTCAACTGCAAATCGGGGAAAATAATAAAAAAAAAAAGGGTACTTTCCTAGGACTAGATGATGTTTTCTCCAAATAATTTATTTGTGGCTATTAATTGTCTGTTATGGTAAAATCATCTCATATTACCAGGCCACCTATCAGCATGCACAAACATACAATACCTCTTAGCATGATTTCATCTCCTTATTACAAGAGGAGCAAAACTGGGTGTATCTTTCAGGACAATATCAAATTAATACTTAGATTTTGACTTCAGTTTACAGTCTGTCTTTGCAAATTGTTTGCAAAACTATTTTCTGGCTACATGCTTCCTCTCATAAAATTGGTAGTGGTCGCTGTGTTAGAAATTGGGCATTTGTAGGGATCATCTCCAATATAAAGAACTTGGACCCAAAAGTCCCTGTGATTCTACACACAAACATTGTAAAATAAGACAGAGTAGATAAACAGGCCAGGTTTTTTTTTTCTCTTCTCTTTTTTTTTTTTTTTGTCTGCAATTCATATAGCAAATAAGTTCTTGCTGAGACCTACAAAGTTATGTATTAAGAGTGTGAAGTAAAGAAAATCACTCTATATCCTTTGAGTACCAGCAACGGTGTTGAATAGTTTGAATCAGACAGTCCATTTCCAGCTGAAAACTGCCTCTAAAAAGCCCTAGTGTCATTCCAGTATTTTACAGGGGGGAAAATTCCTTCAGACTTGTTTGCTGTCAGTGTATTTTTTCCTCTGGGTATTTCGTGCAAGGAACCTTTCCTTTCTTATGCTCTAGCTTCAAATTCCTTTCTAGTGAAATTTCTGATCCAATGATTAATTAAAAACTGGGCAGGATACAACCTTTCTGGTCTTGATAACAGAATTATCTCAGGCATTCTGCAGCTGCAGCGAGATTGCCTTTGATTGCCCATGTGAATTCTCACCAAATGAGACTCACGGATTTCATACAGATTAGAAAGTTGGGCTGTCTGAACGCTGCTGACCAAGACAAGTTGACTGCAGGTGTTTGAAGTTCTGTACAGATCTCCCAGCGAGGAGGACTTGGCTTGTACAGTCCGACATTCAAATTCACTTCTTGGACATCCTCTCCAAAAAGAAAAATTCCAAATGCAATGATGATTTTATTTAAAGCCCCATGGCTTTTCATTAACCAGTCATGTCAGATTTTTTTCTTATTCAACTCTATGCAGGTTTCTTGAGGAATTGCATAATATTAACATATTAATCCAGGAATATATTCCAGCATGAGATGGCACTATTTATTTTAGTTGCCACTACCCAGAAGTTACCTTGCCTTCCCTGAGCTCCACTGACCTGTTATTCAAAATGTTCAATATTATGTTATTTCTGTTACTGTGATCATTTTTTCAATCAGTAGCAGGAAAGATTGAAATGTCACCCGTCAGTATCTGGTATCTATTTTTCTAAACATCAAAGCCTGTTGTATCTCAGCACAGTCTGCTCTTTTGCCAATTTTAGAAGCATCTTATACAAGAGTTGTGCGAAGCAGGCACTCAAACATTGTGACTTGGCTTTAACTTCAGTGCCAAATTTAGTAGGACAGTTTTGCAATCACTGTTTAATTAGCTATGATTCTTCAGTCTTTGCTTCCAGATGGAGAACTGCTTAGCAGTCACCAGCAGTGAAGTTCCTCTCACTGAACTGCAGATGCCTGTATTACTCACCCTAGGCTTCCTCTGTGCTCAGTGAAGAGAAACAGGCGCTTCTTGGGCACGAGACAACTGCTGCTAAGGTAGACATCTAAAATAACTCACGAGTTGTGCTTTTCAAGGACCTGTTTCTCTTCATTGATAATAAAGGAAATATGAACAGCGCAGACAGTCACCTATATTGTAGCTTGAGCACACATCTGTGTATATTACACTCGCCTCACTTTAACAAAGTGGAGGAAAAAAAAAAAAAGTAACTGGTTCTTTGAGATAGAGTCTACCTGCATTGAACGTTCCTTTCTCACCCGCTCTGGACAGTCTCCAGCTAAGATTCTGACCCCCCGAGAGAGCTTACAGGTGTTGGCACCTGCTTTTTCCATCCTCTTTCCAAAATGAGGACATATCGAGCGTGCGGTGGCCTAGATTCTTTGTGTCTAACTTTAGGTACTTTACAACAGAAGTTGCCTCTCTGCTTAGTATCAGGATAGTAGGTGGGCTGATGCCCTCTGGAGGTCCTTCCTCTTCTCTGCTGGATCCTCCTCAGACAACCGTACACCTAAGTGCCTACACGAAGATAACTGGAGCTGAGGCCACCCGCTCTAGGTAATCCCTTTTGTTCAGGTTCTTTACTCCTCAGATTCTCATCTCAAGCATACCTAATTGTGCAGCTAAAATGAAATCCACAGATAAAATCTGGAAGAACTATATTTTTGTAACATGACCAGATTTTGAGAGTAGTAAACCTACGTCTGTTTTGTACTTAGGAATTCCACTTTTTACTAAAATTTATCTCAAAGTTTGGGTGACCCACCATTGTCTTAAAAGGCACAATGGTTGAAGAGGTAGTAGCTTTTGGATAAAAGGTAAAGCTACAATCCTTGTATCATTTAGGAAAGTTTTCCTAGGAGTGGAGAGACTGCAGCCCCTTGGGATTCGTTAAATTTTATCTCAAATAACTGAGTCTGTTTACCTATAGGCCTGCCTTTGCTGTCCTAAGTGCTTTCAGTTGTATGTTAAGGAGTGGCTGTAGTGATCTTAAGAAAGCAAACAAACAAACAATCAATGCTTACATTTGATATTTACATAACTGATTGTTCAGAGAACAATTATTACAAGAAATTACTTGGTTTAGATTTGAACACCGCTCTGCTCGAGAGTGAATTCAGATTGCGTAAGTGCAGCTTTTTTCACTGGGAAAATAGCCAAGTTCTAGGACAGACTAAATTAACTGTTAAATTTTCTGGCAGGTTACTTTTCAGCATTCTTTGAAAAATTGTTTTTGTTTATTTGTTTCACCAAGAATTAGTATCAGTGGAGAGAAACCAAAAGATCGATCCTGGCACACGTTGACTCCGATAGGAGATGACAGACTCTTTCTTTTTGGTGGACTAAGTTCTGATAATGTCCCTTTAAGTAAGTAATTTAGAGATTATCATTCTATTGTACACTTCAGTACTAACCTCGTATAGTATGCACATTTGTTGTCTTTCTCGAACTACTTAGACCTAAATCTTGTTACAGAATTTTCATGGTGCTTGAATATTTCTCTAGCTATCTTATTACTTTTGTAGAAATGTAGGAGTACATTGTGTAGTACAGTGAGAACGTATGATAATAAATCTTTTATCAAACTGTCTTACCATCTAAAAGAATAAAGGCAAGAGGTCTCATGCATTCCGATATGAACAAGGGGCAACTTTCGATATCGGTAGCAACTGCAGTAAGAAGATACTAATAATAATGTCGACATAATGTAGATTTCTGGATGAATAACAAATCACAGCTACAAAATGTTAAATAGGAAGTAGCGTGGTCTTACGCAGAGTTCCTTTTCTAGAAAAGGCAACTTCTTTTCATGAAGAAATTTGAAATTAGTGAAAAGAGCTTTAAGTGTCACAGAGATATTTCACTGGGAGGGGGTGATTTTCAAAGGGACATTGACCTGTTTTCTCAATATATCTAAAAGAAAAAAAGTAAGTGTGTATTAATTCCAGATTCCAGTGCAGTGAGCTTTCTGTGACTGAATGGTTAAGTTAACTTGCATCTTTTCGGTTTTTGTAATTTAACGTGGTGATGATGTTACTGTTGTCTTAATATAATGTCCTCTTAGACCACAGAGCTTTTTGTATAAATAAATAAAAATGGTAATACTTTGTCCCAGGAAAAAGTACTAATGTGTGTTCTCCTTTGTAGGTGATGGCTGGATTCACAGCATTACAACAAATGGATGGAAACAACTTACCCATTTGCCTAAGAGTAGGCCTAGGTATACGAAAATAGATAACGTTTGCTGAAATTTAGGCATTTTAAAATATTATGTAATGTTAAATTGTTGAACAGTATTTTTAAACGACATTATAAGAATATTTTAGAAAATTAATGCAGTATGATTGAATAGTTTGCTTTACTAACTTATGTTCCCTCATACTTGATACAGCATTATTACTTTCTGTATTTGTTGTAGTTGATGCTTACTTGTATTGCAAGATTTTTTTTTTTGTGATGAAGGATCTGGGTGTCCAACTAACCTGGTGTTCTATAGCTAAATTATTTTTATATAAGAAAATGTATATCACGTAACTCTTGGGGAATTAATAACCTATGAGAATAATAAACATTGATTAATATTGATACATTATTAGAAACATGGAGGAGACAACCATGAAAATGTTGACCCACCTTTCAGGATTCAAAAGTATTATAAAATACCTTGTTTGTTTGGGTTTTCTTCCCTGAGCAGAAGCAGCTAATTATGATTACATTTTTGCAAAACTGAATTTACCGCTAAACAGCAAATGACTGTGGAGTTTTGTTATTTGAAGGACTTCGCTGCCAACCAAAAAGGACCTAGTTCTCGAATGCGTATTGTTCATACTGGCCACAATACTGTCTCTTCCAGACTCTGTTCCCCTTCCCTCGCTAGTTAAAGGCTACAGAAAAAGATTGATTCTTTCTGACTAAAGAAAGTGAGTTTCATGCTCTGAACCTGAAGGTTATTTAGAAGCTGCCATTGGAAACAGGTGCTTGCTGAGCACAGACTTTTTTTTTTTTAACCACAGCATTTATAGTGTAAATACTGTTGAATTGATTTGCTGTAGATAGTTTTTCATGGAATTCATTCTATACATTCACCCAGGTACTCTCAGCACAATTTTATATCATCCTTTTAGCATAGCGTACAATTCTGGTCTGGCATTTGTATGCTTCCTGCCTTATGTTCTGTTTTCTATTAGTGAAATATCTTTACTGCAATTAATTTTCTTCCTGTTTTATCCTATTCTAGGGTCTCTTTTAAATATAACAGCACTGTTAGACCAAGTTTTCTGCTTTCTTATATTTCAAACTCTTTCGAGCCCAAATAAACGTACACCTTAGCTTTGTAGAATATTTTCTGTCTTTTTACAATCAGTGAACTGATGAAGGGACTGATGACTGCCTTAGATAACAAAGCATATCATTAGCAGTCAAGGATCACGTTTGTCTTCGTGTTCAGGTCTTTACATGGAAGATCTCATGGAAGCTAACTGCTGAAGTGGACTGCCTCACCTTGCGTAATTATTTTTGCCGGCGTATCCTGAAAAAGGATCAGGAAGGGACAGCATGTGCTCTCTCTGCAGGCAGCAGCCCAGGCAGCTGCAGCTCAGCCTTTACTCTGCAATTAAGCGGGGCCAATGTTTGTGCCTCGGGTGGCGGTAGGGCTGGCTGTTAGGAGCCTGGGACTCGTGAGCCCCAAGTGGCTTTCGGGCAATTCAAGGGCAGATCCCGTACTGGGCTACAAAGTGGAACTGTCGCTGGGCTGTGCTGGCAGAGAGGCTGTTGAGCAAGCCACCTTCCTTGCTGCAGCGCCAAAGAGGGTTCCTGAGGTTGACGCTGCTAAATTTGCTGAGGACTCTGCTGCACGCACAGCCCAGACCCTCCTAAGAGCTTTTGGGTCCCATGCTGACCAGTCTGAGAGCTCCCTCAAATCCAAACATGTCCTATGGTTCTCCACCATCTGAAGGCTGTGGTATGTGGTTTGTAGGCTGAGGACAGTTGTGTTTCATTGACCTAATTCTTTATTGAAGTAAATGACACACCCCCCATTCTTTTTTTTTTTTTTTTTTTTAAAGACACTTCAATAACATTTTTCAGGAACTCCTGGGAACATGGATAAAAGGAGCCATACCAAAAGCCTGTCTATATATTGAACTAGTTTGAGTGTGAAGGACTTGTGCCAAATTGTATCCCTGTTCTTACACAGGGTTCCTGCAGGATCTCTGCAGCTGAAAAAGGTTTAAGTCAGATCTATCGCTCAGATGGCTGACTTCACAGCAGGACTTAAAATGCACTGGCAATAATATGTATATGTGTACTTCTTCTATATATTTCTATTATTTTATAATAATACATGGTATATCACACATATATTAGTGTATTTTCCTGATGCTTCTGCAAAATTGATTCCCTCCTTAAATTCTGTAAAGAATAATTTCCTCCAACCTTCATTTTTAGTAATTTCTAAAAAATTGTCTTCCAGGTTATAGATCTGTGGTTCTGTATTGGTAGAAAGTATTTTTCTTCTTTCTGTCCATCAGTTGTACTTCAGCTAACGTTTTGCATGCCAGGTGAAAATACAGAACAAATTGTATGTTTAACTTGCAGATTCCCAGTGTTTTCCTTACAATGTAACTCTGCTATTCTAGTTAGAAGAGCTGTGTAAAAAAAGGTTGCATCAATTCAGCATCTGTATAATTTAAATAACATGCTTTATTAGAATGTTTAGGTGATAAGTTAGAGCAGCTGTGAGAGGACATAAACTCTGTCAGTCTGTAGAAAAAGCCTCAGGTTGCGAGCTAGGATCTCAACAAGGTCAAGGCAGGAAAGGCTTCCCAGTGTTCTTCGGTGATGAAGTCCAGGCCAGAGTTGTCCTAATGCAGATAAGGCAGAGACAGATCTATCTACAGGTATGAGGAAGAGAAAAGGTGGGATACAGTCTAGCCTAAGGAGAACGGTGAATAATTAGTGATGTGAATGGAGTAAGAAAGTGAGAACGTTTACTTTTGCGTGAAAGTTTCAGTGGTGCATATTATTCTGGTTAAGTAGACTTAAAGGGCCAGAGCTCTGTGGTGCTAATCATCTTGTGATGTTTACCTCAGTGGTGATACACCAACAGAAAAACTATAGATTTTGATCTGCTGATAGTAAAAAGTAAATCTAGCAAATTGTAGCTGCTGAAGTAGCAGAACCTTTGTTTCTGTAAAAGCAAGATTATACAAGTCAGATCTTGTTTCGCTCTTTTTTTTATACCATGTGCTTTTATATGCACAATACCAGACTTACTTGTGGGCGTGATGGAAGTAATTGACACACAGAAAATGATCCCCAGGCACCTTTGGGGGAAGCGTAAAACTGAAACAGGATAACTCGTGTTCTGCAGCTCTCATCCTAGTGTGCAGGGATAAGAGTCAGTACCGAAAACCCCACAATCTGAAGGCCATTAGAATTCTAATTGCGAATTAAAGAAATAGTGGAAAATTTAAAAAGAAAAAAAAAAAGGAAAAGAAAAGCTGTTCTTGGCAAAAGCTTGTTTTGTATAGTTGTTCTCTGAAAATTTTCCACTGTAACGTTGTGTTGAAGTAGAGATAAGTAAGACAAAGTATATGTCAGTAGCGTACAGAAAAGTCAAATAATGTCCAAAATACTGTTCTGTATGACACGTAATCATTGAGCAAAATTCTCATGAGATGAATAGTCACATTGCTCTCTCCTTTTATATTGTTAAAGAAATGAGTAATATCATATTTTAAGGTGGTATTTTTTACCTCTGAAGACTTCTGAAATAATGTCTTTGTCTTGGTTTCCTAAGACGTGAGGGTTACATTAGTGTGCTCTGCGCACGTCCGGCCGCCTCTCCTGCCCGCCCGCATTGAAATGGGTCAATTGATTCACAGTAACACGTGTCAAAGAAGTAGGAGGCTCAGAGATACTAAGTCCCAACACACTCTGTGCAAATAAATGGCCACACAGAAAAGAGACTCTCGTAATGGCTTCGCTCCAGAGAGCGCTCAGTGCTTGTTCTCCATTCTTCCATAAGAACGGAAGGTCTGCCTTGAGAGACGGGCTGATAAAGAACAGGCTCTAGTGTTTCTGCAGCTCACGGAGCAACTTGTAACGTACGTTACTTGCAATTGTAAAGTTCTCCTGGGTAAGCAGCGAGGCCAGTAAGACTTCAAGGCTCTGTGCCTAAGCAGTGGAATCACAGGATTAGAAAAGTGACCTTTCCGTTTTAGTTAAAAGGAACTTATGTCCTTATAGCAAGAGAGTCTTTTGAAAAGAAACTTAAATATGAAGAATGGAGGAGAGTCTGTGTGAGGTGAAAAGGTTAATATGCAAGTAAACTTACTGCTTCTCTGAAACCCTTAAAAACATTGAGGTTTTAGATTTGTTTTGCTGATAACACACAACTGCTTGTTGTTACTTGGTCACTAATTATATTTATAATTTTATTTCTAGATTGTGGCATACAGCCTGCCTTGGAAAGGAAGGAGAAGTGATGGTGTTTGGTGGAAGCAAAGATGACTTGCATTTCATGGACACAGTCAGTAAACCGAATAATGCAATCCTAGCACTACAATAATTAAAATTGAAATAAAGTTGATACAATTGCTGATACTACTGGGTTCATTCATATCGTAAGGTGTTGTGAGATGTGACCTTAGGTGTTCTTGGAAAGTAAGTTGTGAGGTTTTTTTCCTGCCCTTGTTAGGCTCATAAAAAGGAATTTGTTATTCAGATTCTTTATAAATAATTATTTAAGTATTCTCAGTTTGAAATTATGCATGTGGTAATAAATGTTACGTTAATCTAGAAAATAGCAGTATTTCCGAGATAAGCTGTTTGTCATTTTGATGGTTCTTTTTTTCTGTTGACCAGGGTCACTGCAGTGACTTGTTGATATTTCAGACCCAACCTTATTCGCTCCTCAGGTGAGTTGAGGTTATTGGCACCAGTCTGGTGTAAATCGTTATGGCGCTGTGCTTTTACACACAGGTCTTTAGGTTAGAGACCATATACTTAAATATTTTTTTTTTTTCTCCTTTTTTTCCTCCTTCTTCAGGTTGTGTCTTGACTGCATTGGTAAAAATGCAGCTCTCCTAAAGAATCAAATACCATGCTTGCCATCGAAACTTTTGCAGCAAGTGCTGAAAAAAATAACCTTCTGGGCTGCAGTTAACCACCGGCAAGAGAAGAAAGCTGAAACGGAAAGACAAAGTCAACTAAATACCACATGAACAATGGCAACAAAACTGTTGAGCACCTTGGTTTATTTACGATGTACAGCAAAGTCTTTTGTTAGTGAACTTTACTAATGCTACAGAACAACTGTATGTTAAGCTGAGTTTCTAAGTGAAGTTTGAGAACAAAGAAATCCTTTTTATGGAAGTCTCTTTTTGTTTTCTGCGTTATAGAAAACTGATAAAACTTCGTTTGTATATATTGTTAACTTCTGCTGTTGTGGTCTTAATGAGACGGTCCATATAACTTGTTCTTTTTGAAGGTGAGAGATGATACAAAATGTTTTCCGTTGGATAAAATACGGCTTAAGTCTAAAATCTTACTACAGCCTTATCCCATCAGCCTTTATGGAAAGATAAAATTAGTTCAACGCTGTATCTTCGGAAGATTCACGCTTGTCAGCCTCGAGAAAGGTAACTAATTTGCTAACACCACCGAATCTGATTCTTTGATCCCACCAGACTCTGGCCACCTGCCCCAACGCTGGCGCCAGGCCTCTTACTCCAAGTAGGAAAACGGACAAGCGAACCGCGGACCTTGAGGAAAAAGCTGCCCTGAGCGGCATCACCGGCTGTATAGGAAAGCTTGCGCGCCGTTCGTACTATGGGTTTACTATGTTTCTGTAATCAAGGAGTCCTTTTTGAACTAGGTTGTATATTGTATTTTGGATGTGTAAAGTTTATATTTAATTCTTGTTTAAAAAAATGCTTATTTATTGGTTAAAAAGAGCGTATGTAGTACTTGCTATTTTTCTGTTTCAAACATTTAGTTAACAGGAGCGCAGTCATTAAAATTTTATAGAGAGTTGAATCGCGACCCCTTTTGACGATTTTTTTTGACATTTTGACAGTCTGCAGAACTTGCTTAACCGGGGAAAGGAGTTTTCGGAGCAAAGTTGCATCACAAAGGGCAGGTTTGTGACTGGGGATTGCAGCAGAGCCATAGTTTTACACGTGGTAAACCCTACGCAAAGATTCAGCTGGCTTTTTTACACCGAGAACCTGTCACCTCTCGGCTGAAGAGGGTTCCTCCGGACGAAAAACGACCCCAGCTCCCGGCTGGGCCCGGGCCCGGGCCGCGGCGGGGCGGGAGGGGACGGCG